GGCCTTCACCGGGTCGCAACCGCACATCATCGTGACCATCTTCCCATCGGGACCGAAGCAAGAATGCTCCGACATCCACATAACGCAATTCTCTCCTGTGAGTGCTGACGCGTTGCTGCCCTTCGCCTTGGGGTTGATACCCCAACCCTTTCCGTTGAAGTCTCGTTCTGGCATGTGGTCTTTGAATCCATCTTGCCAGTACCCGTCGACAGACTTCATCCTCAGGCATTGCTCGCGCATCGACCTATAAGTCGGGCAGGTGTCTGTCGTCCTCTTCTTGCCAAGCTTGAAGATGGCCACTCGGATGAGGTCCACGTACCGTATTCTACACAAGATACCACACCCTCATAAGATACCACACCCCCCCCACAATACCACACCCCGGTGGTAATTTTGGGTGTATTTTTCAGACCATGATTTATCACCGGGGGTACACAAGATACCACACCCCGGTGATAACACAGGTTACGCCGCATACATTCCCTGTCTCTATCACCGGGGGTGAAACAGCATCACACACGCACAGCTTGTACCGTACGGGGGGAGACATGGAGACCTCAGAGAACATGAACGTGCGGGAAGAGCAGAATGCCGCCGCAAGTACATCTGCTTCTCCCACGACTGCTTCGACCGCAGCAGCACAGGCGCCACAGATCACCTCGTTCTTTCAACCCGAGCAGACTTCTACGCAAGCGGCACACCCCCTGTTTATCACACACCCGAACACACTCTTTGGGTGTTCCGACGTGTTATCACACCCCATTTTATCACACCCCCTTTTTTATCCCACTCCCAAACCCTCCCTGTGGGTGGTCGCATGTGCTACCACACCCCCTGGTTTATCACACCCCCTGAGGAGCTCCTGCGAGCTAGGCTTTATCACCGGGGTACACAAGATACCACACCCCCCCCACACTACCACACCCGGTGATAATATTTTTGAAGCCCAAAATGTTATCACCGGGGTGTGGTATCTTGTGCAGAATACGGCAGGTCCTGACGCTGTCATTCACGCTGCGGAGCAGATCGCCTGGAGGGGTCGTAACACCGGCAAATGCTGCCTCGTACCTGAAGTAGAAAATGGTCGCGAGAAGCTTGATGCTCTGCTCTATGTCCACGGTCCACACCCCATCCTCCATCACGAATAGGGAACGGTTGAACACGCCCTCAGCCCGCACGCTTTTCAGAGCAAGTATCCACATTTTGTATAACGGCAGGCCGGAAATGGCAGGGAGGAAGTCGCAGCCCGCCAGAAGGTAGATCAGAACGAAAAGGCGGACCTTCTCGTCAGCGGTGGGAATCCAGCCTTGGAAGTCTGCCGCCGGCCACGCAGATTCGCTCCCGTCCTTGAGGTCGGCGATTTTGTTGTACACTCGGTTGACCCATAGGAACTTCGCAGCTCCCCCAACAATCCTCTGCACGGTAACGTCCACCTTATCGATACCACTAGGCGGGATTTTGCCGGTGTTTATTGCCAAGAGGATGAGCATCCATAAGTCCGTGTCGACTGATGTGACGAGCCACTTGTCAACTTCTTTCCCCAGCACTGCTCCGCCCACACGATAAAATGAGCGACAGAAAGCTCAGCCTCGCCAACGTCCGGTCCACGCTCTCGCTGGACAACCGTACCTGAAGTAGACCCGTTTCGGAAGTGCAGGAGATGTTCCGGCCCCGAGCCATACCACCCCCCCTCATCCACCTCGCCGTCGGCGCCGAAAGCCTCAGGCATCTCATTGTACTGTTGCACATCTCTCAGTCCAACCTCACCTCCAACACCGTAGAACGCAACGGTCCCAGTTGGCTTTAGGTCTCCGTCCCACTTTTCATCCGCCAGCACGTTCATGACGAGATTCGCGGTGATACCATCCCGCGCCTCCTTGGAATTGACTCGGAGCCATGGCTGAAACCGTGACGAAGGAATCGATTCCGTTGACGACGGATCGAAGTCCCGCGTGCACCCCCCCACTTGCTCGGTCCGCGCCAGCTGTTCTTGCCCTTTGGTAACGGGTACAAGTTCCGCGCGATCGTAGCACACGACAAGTAGGTCGGTGTCCATCAGCCATTTCGAGCGCAACTCTTGTTCGAAGTAGCGGATCACCCCCACTGTTCCCTCCTCCAAGTTTGATTGCCTCACACCTTGGTGGATTAAAACCGGCAGATCCACGCCGTGAGCGTTGGGCTTGCAGAACGGTTCATCTTTGTATCCGTCCGGGACCTCTTCGTTTGCCCACCTGTTTGAGCCTTGGGCTTTGTTGGCGTGCTTCGCGCCTGATGATTTGTCGGAATAAGTGTTCACGGAAGAGACGGCAGGGTGTGGTTTGGGGGGGGG